AAATCAATTATTTCATTAAAATTTATTATTTTTACGATACAAATTTCTCAATGTAATTTTCATCATTTTATTAGGAAAATTTATATGGAATATGATATCAAAAAATTTCGAAATTTTACATCCGAAAAAGTCATATCCTATGTAAATTTTCGAATGTAAAATTACAGGGGGTATATTTTTTTGGACGTAAATTTCGATTTTAAAATTTCTCTCAACTTCTTTTCAAGTTCGATTGTGCCCCCAACTTTTAAGGTTTGTGTCCGCCCCTTATTGGAAGGGTGCACTAGCTAGTTCTTGAAATATTGAAAATCTATAAAGGTGTAGGCATGTGACTTTTGGTGTATGTTGAGCTGTTCCTCACATCAATTGACCATTGAGATGTCCATTTGGTCCCAATGTTACATGTGGGAATTGGATAAAAATCAAGTAGCTAAACAAAACAAAAGTTGTGTAGAGGGGACACTTGAATTGTATGGTATAAAGAAAATGAACAAAACTTGATATCACGTCATTAAAGCAATGTATAGAATACACTTCATAAGTAAATGAAAAAGACCAATCTTTTCAACCTTTTTCTCGACAAATATTTAAGTAAGATTTCACTTGTATCACTGAACTTTAGGAAGATCTCACACAGGATATCGAATTTAATCTTGTAAAACATCATTTCAAAATGATTGCATGTTTTATATACGACTAGACATTCAAAATTACAAAATAACAATTTTCTAGCTCCGTGTTAGCTTTTTCACTAGTCACATCTTTTTTTAGTGTACTTTATAGACGTAGATGAGTGCTTGTCTTGAATAAGTTAAGAAATTATTAAAAAGTTGTGATCAAAATGAACAATTACTTTTTATCACGGATTTTTATAAGATTCATAACTTATATCAATTTTTCAATCATAAATTTTATCAACTTTTATCAAAATTGTAAATTTTTTCATCACGGTTTATTTGAAATATAATAAAATTACATATAATTTAATTTTTCCAATGATAGGCAAATAAAGTACTAGTGACTTCTGTAGACCTTCTCTAGTAGTTAGGTTGAAGAACTTCTTTAATTAAGCTCATATTTTTTACTTTAAATATATTGAGTATTGACCCAAAACAAAAGACTTAAACCTAGTAAAATACAATCGATCATATCTAATTTGATTCATGGAGGCTCAGATGTTATTAGGACTACCTGTGAAATTGTAATGTATAGATACTATGAGAAAGGTTAGTATTGCACGTCGTATAAGTACAAAATAAATATACAACATAGGTCTAGGCATTTTTAATCTGAAATCGGAAGTTTCGGTCCAGTTCTCAAAAAAATAAATTAGGAACCGAAACTGAGAATCGATAATCGACTGAGCCTGGGTCGGTTCTTTGTTCCTAAACCGGAATCGTGGGTATCCGAATGGAATCAATTTTTTTATATAATTTTATATTTACAATTTATAGGTTAGGTTAAAAAAAATACAAAACCTAAAAATCCTAACTTGATTAGTAATTAGGTTAAAACTCTAGACTCTAACCCTAAGAAATCAGGATCAACTCATACTTTTTTGTCTCTCACCTCACATCACATTGTTGTATTAAAAGGTTAATACATGTTAATCTTTGCAATTTATGCTTTATATGAATAAAAAAAGTTCAAGTTAGGCTGTTGTGTGAGTTGATGAATCAAAGTGTTCATTCTTTGCAATTCTAACTTTTTACTTTCTTACATTGTTTACAAACTTAAGTGATTTTTAAACTTTATATATAATGTGTAGCAATCATATATTTATAGTTTGGACGGTAGTATACCTTTTTTTGTTATCTTGAGTTCACGGTTCGCTCTCAAAACATAATTTTTTATTTTTTATTCAATCAAAGCAAATTCAATATGTAGACTGCAATTTCTTGATACTATATTGTTATATATTTCAATAGTATTTTTTATATTAGTTCGTTTTAAGAGTAGAATTTAAACATTGTTCATAATTAAATTATAGTTTCAGCATACCCTATAAGATTTATGAAGAAAAAATAATTTCTTCTCAAATTGTAATTTAATTTTTATTATTTTAATTTTCTTCTCTTTTCGTGGTTTTTAGTATCCTCTATTTTGCTTCTTGAAGAATTTCTTAGCTAAACTTTCTCCCATGTACAAATATTGTCGAGTAGTCGCCTATCGATATGGCATATGAAAATGTTTATTAAATGTCATGGATAGAACCGAACCCGAATCGGAATTGACGGTTTAGGTTTGGGTAGGTTCCGATAATTATAAGGATTTAAATGGTTCCATTTATAAAATACCCAAAATATAAATATTGTAATACTCGGATTGATTCATTTGACATCCGGACCTAATATGGCACATATTAATTTGGTAATTATGTTGATCTAAATCTTAGCCCAGTTTGACAACTAAGAGAAACGGGAGGAAAATAATGTTTTTAATAGTGATTTTTTAGAGAATGAGGTTATGAAGTTAAAAAATAATTGAATTTATATATAGAATATTTTATTGTATAAATGTATGGTTGAATAAATAAAAAAGTTTGCTTCGATGGAGTCAAACGGGGCTTAATGAACCCCTGTTTGGTGCACATTTTTGCTCAAAAAATGTATTTTTTTTATGTGATGGGAGATATGTCATTGAAAAAAAAGGAAATTTTATCGATGTGATGGAAAATATTATTTTATTAAATAATGTGTAGTTAAAAATGAATAGAAAAATGAGAGTGAAAAAAACAATGTAGTCCAGGGGCTGAATTTCACAAAGATGCTTAAAAATCGAATTTTCATGGTTCCCCAATTATCGACAATCATTCAACTGTCCAATCAACATTAAATTTTAATTCTCATGTCAATTCAAGTACTCTGTGAAAACATTAAGCCCCTGTTTGCCCCCCACTTTCTTACAATTTTCTTTATCATTTTTTTTCTTTCTTCATTTTNAGATAGTCTGTACAAAATTTGTGAACCAAAATCTGGTAGAGTAGAATAATTCTTGAGGAGAATAGAAATTTTAGAATAGTGATTGATGTGAGAATGTGTGGTGGAAAAGTGATGAAAAGTTTTTGATTTGTGTGTATTATTATTATTTTATTTGATGAATGTATGGTTGAGATGTAGAGAGAGAAAAAATTAATGTAATGGAATGTAATATAATGGAGGCCAAACAGGGGCTAATTAGGTTCGATTCCGTAGTTTGATAAGTAGGCCCATCATGGGAATCCTTCAAGAATTGAATTCTTTTTTACAATTAACTTCAAATCTTGACGTCATGATATTAACGATGTGTTTGGCACCCATTTTGGGTTTATTATAAATTTTGGAATTGTGATATTGGAAGAATGCGTGATTGAAAAGTAATAAAAAATTTTAAATTTATGTTTAATATTATTTATTGAAGAATGTGTGGTTATAATTAAGAAAGAAATTAAAAAAAATAATGGGTGCCAAACGCAAATTTTAATAACTAATAATGTTTATTAATTAAAAATTGATATTTTAAAGTCTAAATTATGTACGAATATGTGTATAAGTTAAGGGACGAACTGGGTTTTTAAGCTTTAAAATTGCGAAAAAAAATAAATTCTATCACTTATAGCCCATGGATGCTAATGACTTTTCTTGGTAAGGTTAGTTTACGTAATGAATGGTGATATATACTCGATAATTATAACATATTAAGCCCTTATTTGGTGGCTATTCTTTTTTTTTTTTTAATATTGTTTTTAATAGTGAATTTTTTTGAGAATGTATAATTAAAAAGTGATGAAAATTTTTGAATTTACGTATAAAATATTTTATTACGTGAATGTGGTTGAAAATAAGTACGTAAAAAAAAATTGAAAGAACTAGAGACAAGCATGGGCAAAGTTCATTCTTATTCCCTAATATTTTATATTATACCTAGTCGATCGACCTGTCAGCTTCATTTAGGAGCCCTACTGTACTAGCCTCCCCAACAGGAAATGTTTTCCCTCTCCCAATTTTGAATATAAATTCTTCATTTCAAATTCCTGTATGAATTCTGTATAATTTCCCCGTACCTATAGCATGATTCTTTTGTTACAATTATTCCACAAGTACAGGAAATTTCTACATATTGTTGACAGGAATTTGAAATGGTTTAATCATATCCATTAATGTGTTGTTTTCCCTCTCCTAATTTTAAATGTAAACCCTCCATTTCAAATTCCTGCATGAATTCTATATAATTTCCCTGTACCTATAGCATGATTCTTTTGTTACAATTATTCCACAAGTACATGAAATTCTACATATTGTTGACAGGAATTTGAA